CCCACAGGGGAGTAGCCCTTGCTGGCAGAGTAGCCCCTGCTGGTGGAGTAGCCCCACAGGGGAGTAGCCCTTGCTGGCGGAGTAGCTCCTGCTGGTGGAGTAGCCCTTGCTGGCGGAGTAGCCCCTGCTGGTGGAGTAACCTTGTTATTAGAGCAGGACTGAACTGTGCCCTCCTGGCCCACTAGTCACACATCTCCCCAGGGGACTATGGGGCTGTGGAGTTGCTGAGGGAACATATACCCAGACTTCCACAATACTGACCCTTACTCTGTGGCCTCAGCTCGATCCCACATGCATGTGGGCACTGGGCAGAGCCCATGTTTGGGGAGCCTCTTCTGTGCCACTCTGTGCTGTCTTCCCACACAGCTCTCCTCCCCTTCAACCTTCACCAGGGCGGTGCATGACCTGGCCCCAAGGTCCCATCCCTTGTTCAGAGTCATCCAGAGAAGGCCATGGCCAAGCAGAGACTCCAGACCCAGGTCCACCAGGCCCTTCCCTCCTGCTGGGTCCTACGCTGTCCCCTAGAGCAGACTCAGTGGGCTGTACCCAGGCATTCAGCTCCCTGAAGGTGTGCACCCGCCCATTCTCCCCCACTGCTCTCTGCCCCCTGCCCTCACACTCGGGCTCCGCCGGAGGGAAGGGTAAGTCCAAGTCCTTCACTCGAGGGCCCTGCTGGCAGCTGCAGGTGCGCACCACACCCCCCATCAACTGAGTGCCAGTTGTGGGGCGGAGCCGTCACCCGTGATGTTTGCTTTTCCCAGCCCTGCTTTTGCTGTGCCGCTGGCACTGCCTCCCTGTTTGCCCAAGGACCTGCCTTCCAGAACCCAGTGCGGCTGGCGGGCAGGTGGTCCTGTGCTTCTGGGCTCCCAGTTCTGCACGAGCAGCGCGGCCACTCTGCCCGTAAGCGCCACACCCTGCAGGCTCCGATGCTGACGGGGCGCTGCGCGGCACGGCCCATGCCGGGCATGTGACTTCGCAGTGCCGGGCCTGGCATGCCTGGCGTGCCAAAGCAGCAGTGGTGGCGGCAGCGGGACAGTCAGCCAGGAGGTCCCTGGTGCTCTTGTGTTGGCCCGGTGGCCCTGGGGCATGGCGCGCGGGTGGCATCAATGGGACTTTTGTGCAGCCGGGGTCAGTGCTGCACATGGCCCAGGCCAGGAACTTCCTGCGCAGACACATCTGCCCCTGTCTTTCCGGGAGTGGCTGTGCTGGCCCGCTGCCCCCACCCTTCCTCCGGCGAGGGAGCTTGCCTTGATTTGACCAGCCCTGCCCTGCTCTTCACCCCCTTTCAGATGACTCAGCCCCAGGGACTTGGTTTCTTCTCCGGCTGCAGACCTGCCCCCGAGCAAGGCCTTCTAGCACTCTGCCTCTGGCTGGCCGGGGCTGGGCCCTGCGTGGGCAGCCGTTGGCGGGGGTGACTTCTTGAGGTCACAGGCCTGGTCCCCCGGGCTGGGGACTCCATTAGGGACAGAGGCCGGTGGCTCTGTCTTCCCAGGGCAGAGGAGACGTTCTCCCCTGCATCCAGGAAAGACGCGGCCTTTAGCAAGCGGAGCCGGCGCCTCCCTCCCTGCGTGTCCCTGGTGGCGCTGGTCCTGTGAGGAGACAGGCTCAGCCCCACCCTCCGGCGCCCACCAGCTTGCACTTGGCCTTATACAGACGCCTTTGTTCCTGCCTGTGGTCCCTCAGCCACTAGGTGTCTGTCAGGCAAGCTGTGAGTCTGAGCAGGCATCACCCACAGGCGGTGCAGGGGCCTCTGTAAACAGAGGGCAGCGGGGTGGGCACCACCTTCCCAGGTGGGCACTGCAGCAGGCAGGTCACTCCCATGCCAGCCCCTGGGACGGGGGGCAGGGTGGCCCCGGGCTCCTGGCTGGGGGAGCCTTACCACACATACAAGCTGGGGAGCAGGCCTGCCATGGAGAAGGGAGGCTGGCTCCTGAGGCCCCAGCCCCTCCCCCGCTGCTGGGCAGAGCGGGGTGCTGGCCTGGGGTGCACAGTCTGCCGCTCTACAAATAACCCCATCTTATTCCTCCAGCAGCAGCAAGCGCCCCTAGCACGTGGGCATAGCCCAGAGCCGAGCTCTGTGCCACAGTAACACAAGCAAGCTGGCACCCTCGAGACCCCGTTTGCATTTGGGTCACGCTTGAGCAATGTCACACAGATGTGATTTACCCCCCTCTGACAGGAACTGGGGCTCCAAGAGGTTATGGCTTGCCCACACCCGTTCCGTGGCCAAGCCTGGGTTCCCTGCCACCGAGCCTTCCCCTCTCCGCTCTTGCAGTAAACAGGAGTGTTAATAAGCGAGCATGCTAATACATAATTGATCCACCTTGGTCCCTCTGGCCTCTTCTCCCCATGGAGCTCTGAGCACTTCCCAGACGTGACCTCAGGCGTCCTCCCACGGCTGAGAGCGGGGCGGGTGGAGGGCGTGGAGCAGCCTGGCGCCCTGGCCCTGCCTGGAGATGCTGGGCCTGTCTGCCTGCCCCGTCTCTGGCCTGTGCAGGTGTGATTCCGACGGGACCAGGGAGGATGGGCTGAGCCGGAGGTGGGAGCCCCAGCGGACACCCTTTCCTGAGGCCTCGTCCCAGCCGGCAGGCTTGTCCTGGGTGGGTGTCTTGTTTGTTCTCTTCACATTCCTAGGAAGTTTGGCAGACAGCAGAAGCAGAAGGGGTCACGGGGGAGGTGCCTGAGCCCCTGGGGCAGGCCTTTCACCAGGCCCCCGGACCCCCAGCAGCCCAGACACAGAGCCAGAGCCGCTGGGGCCAGAGAGGAACTCAGATGTGCCTGAGGTCACGGGCAAGTCCTGCAGGCAGGTTTTGAACCTGGTTTCGCCAGCTTCACCGCTGGTGCCCATAAAATGCTGGGCTGTGGCCTGGAGACTCCTGGCCCCTCTGTGCCCGAGGGTAGCATCACCCGTAATCCTGAGTTTCTGGATTGGGGTGTTTCCCCAAGCTAGAGGCTGAAGATCTTTGGAATCTGAGAGCTCAGGGGGAATAAAAGAAGCACATCTGGGCCCTCTCCAGTGGCGCAGCGGGTTAAAGCACAACACTAAGAAGCTAAAGCCACTGCAGCATGAGTTCGATCCCGCCTGCCCTGGAGGTGACCACATGGCGCGGCAGACCTCTCCTGACCCACCCGCTGCTCCCCTCAGCAGTGGACTTCAGTGATGTGCCTGTTCTGCTCCCCACTCTGTCTCTGGTGAAGCCTCTCACCGCCTCTGAGCCTCTGGCCTGTACCCCAGCTCTGTATGCAGAATTAAATAAATCTTGAAAAAAAGCAGCACATCGTAGAGCAGTTGGAGCGATGTGGCCACCCTCCTCGAGTCGATGAAGACACAGGCCCTGAAAGGGGAAGTCCTCCCCACCGCTGCTCCTGGCCGCTGCTCTCTTGCTGACCTGGGGGGCGGGGGTCCTGGCCCCAGGGCTCCTCCAGGGAGAGGGCTCGGGCCTGCTGTGCTCGCTGGCCCTGCCCTGCAGTGCAGGCCTTGCAAAGGTGGACACAGTCCCTCCCCGGAGGCGCAGGGATGGGGGAGCAGGGGCCAGGCTGCTGGGGCCGTGGCGCCCTGAGGCAGCAGGGCCCCTAACTGGTCGGTACCAGACGCTGCTACTCCTGTGTCACCCCCCCCCCAATACAACCCCATGCCCTTCCCGCCAGTCTCTGCACCCGTGAAACTGCTGCCACGTTGCTTCCCTGTCTCGCCCACTTGGGCTGGGACTGCCAGGCGCCCGTGAAGCCTGCATGTGGCCGTGGCTGAGGGGAGAAGTCTGGGTGCAGCTGGGACCCCAGCCTGAGGCGCCAGTGGCCTGGAGGCCTCGCCAGGAGCCCGGGGTGCTGGGCCCTCTCTGACCTGGGGCCCTGCTCACCCAGGGCTCCCAGGCTCAGGCCCGGCAGGCCCTTCTTGGTGCTGAGGGCTCCCCAGGGCCTGGGGAGCCACACCCGGTGGGGGGAGGGGGGTGGCAGACAGTAACCATGTTAACAAACAGACCCCGGAGAGACAGAGCCGCCAAGCTGAGATGGGAGGCGTGCGGGCTGGGCGAGGAGGCGGCTCAAAGTGGGGGCCGGCCAGCAGACGCAGGCGTCCCCTCCTGGAGGCCCAGTCCTCCCACGTGAGGTTTGCGTCAGCGCCGACACACCCCGCGTCCTGTGAGGGCGCTTCCGGGGGGCGTCACCGTGGTCCGAGGCGGGGGAGAGCCAGAGTGAGGAGTTGTGTTCGGGGCCAGTGCCTCCAGCCTCGAGCTCCTTATGGGGGACCCTCACTGTGGGAGCAGAGCTCAGCCTCCGCCCCGAACTGGGACGTGGCCAGGCCCCGTCCTGCCACACACCTGTGGCCAGCACCGGCTGAGTTGGCATCTTGGGCGTCCTGCCGGCGGGGCCAGGCCTGTTCTCCGGCTCCTCCAGGACCAGGGACCGGCCCTGCCAGAGAAGGGACCAGGGCGGTGGCCCGCCGGCCGTCCAGCTGCTCGGGCCATTGAGCGGGGCTGCTGCCCTCCTGCCCGCCCATCCCTGCTGTTCTCCTTGCCCCACCTCGCGCCGCCTGGCCCGCATTTCCCGGGCTGCCCCCACCCGTCTTCCCGCGCTGGCCACCTCCCTCCCGCAGGGCCGGGCTGGGCTGGACTGGGCTTCCTGCTGTGGTCAGCCCGCACACCATCGTCCTGCCGGCCCTCCTCCTGGCCTCTCTGCTCTCACTGACCCTCCGCCGTTCACCTCCATTCCTAGTGCTCACAGCAGCTGGCCCTCCCCCGCAGCCAGGCTCGGAGGGGGCCCCCACGTGGCATAGGTGATGATGAACGGGGCGTCTTTCCTCCGGGCTGGATGCCCCCCGAGACCTGGCCCCACCTCGGCTTTTATTTATTGCACCCGGCAGGCTCGCTGATGACTTGTTGGCTGGATGGAGAATGTCTGATGCGTGAGTTTAATTGTAACGAGGCTTCACCTACGTTCACACACCTAGGGCCTCCCAGGGCTGTTTCCAGCCTTTTCTCCTCCACTCCTGGCCCTGCCAAAGCCATGTGTGTGGGCGGGCCCTGCTCCCGGCTTGGCCGGAGGGACGCCCACTCGTCACCAAAAAGTGGAGTCGTGGGGGCTTGTCTGAACCGTGGCCACAGGCCCCTGTTGAGCAGCAGGCACCCCGGGGGGTGCGGGGTTGCCCCAGGGTGGTGAGGACCAGGTCAGGTCATGGAGGAACTGCAGGGCTGAGCAGAGAGCTGGCCGCCCAGGCTGTGTGGGTGGTCACTCACCCAGGCCGGCGTGGCAGTGTGGGGCACCGTGTCCCCTCTGAAGGCTGACCTTTGCTCTCCAGGAACCCAGCGTCCTTGGCGCCCGCCAGGAAGCCGGGACACAGGCTGGACTTGCAGGCACGGCCTTCTCCCTGGGGCTGGGTGCCCGTCCCTGCTGGCAGTGGGCGCTGGCTCTCAGGCGGCAGGGCTGTGCCGGTCAGGCAGCCGGGTCGCTCGCTGGTGGGGAGGGGCCCCCCAGGAGGCCCTCGAGCCCACAATTCTAGGTCACCTTCTGCAGCATCCAGAAGCAGGAGTGGTATTTATAGCAGCCAGCGGCCACCGAGGGTGGGGAGTCAGCAGGAGCTATGACGCAGGCCGCCCCCCTCCCGGGTCCCCTAGCTCTCACTGGCTCTCTCATCGCCACCCCCCCAACCCCCGCCCCACTCCAGAGCTTTCCTGGGCCCAGCAGTGAAGGGCTAGATGTGCAAGACTCGTACATCACGCCGCCTCCCCCAGCCCTGGAGGACACGAGGTGCCACTTTCTGCCTGGCAGGAGCCGCTACTCCGCCGTGTGCCCGGACCTCGTCTGTCTCCACGGCCCCAGTGGGCACCCCATTAGCACTCGGCGGCTGGCCTCCTGCTCCCGCTCCATGGCGCCGTCAGCCTTCTGCGGGAAGGTTCATCCCCTGGAGTCACCAGCAGCTTTGCCAGCCGCCCGGGGCCCGGCAGGGGTGAGCAAAAGGCCTGCCTCCTCCCGACTAGCGGCAGGCAGTTAATGGGGTCACCAGCACCCGCCCCAGGGTGATGAGAAGAGGCCTTGCCAAACGCCTGTTACCTCCCTGCAGTGTCCTTGCTAAAGCGGCAGTGAAGGAGCAGTACCAGCCCGTGGCCGCCAGAGCCCCGCCAGGCTGGGCCCCCGCCCCACCGCCTGCCATACCCAGGGTGCAGTCAGAGAAGCCACAGAAGCGACAGTGTGACGAGGCGGGGACCTGGGGCTCCAAGGGTGTGTCCCCTGGGAAGGAAAGTGACGCCAGGCTCTGGAGTCCCAGTGAGGGGGCGCGGGGGCCTGCAGGCTTTCCAGCCAGATAGAGAGTGTGTCCTTCGTCCCGTCGGGCGTGCACGGGCCAAGGCCGACATCTCTCAACTGCCCATTGGCGTTGTCTCATGGCGGGGGCCTGTGCTCCCCTCCGGGTACCCTCACCCCCTTGCCCAGTCCGTTTTCCAGCCTCCTGGGCCTGGAGAGACACGGGGCACCGTGCGGTCGGCCCCCACAGGAGGGCGGGCCAGGCCTCCGCTGACCGCTGGGCTGGTGCCTCTGTCGGAGCACCCCGCAGGCCTCAGCAGGTGGGAGAGGGAGGTGGGTGCAGGAAGTGGGGCGCCTGGTGGGGCGGGGTGGGCTGGGGCGGGGGAGCTGGCAGCTAGTGGCTGGGAGTCCTTTTTTTTTTTTTTTTAAAGATTTTTATTTTAAAGATTTATTTATTTATGCATACAGAACTGGGGTACAGGCCAGAGGCTTAGGAGCGGTGAGAGGCTTCACCAGAGACAGAGCGGGGAGCAGAACAGGCAGATCGACGAAGCACACTGCTGAGGGGAGCAGCGGGCGGTCAGCAGAAGTCTGCCACGCCATGTGGTCTCCTCCGGGGCGGGCGGGGATCAAACTCATGCGGAAGCGGCTTTAGCTTCTCAGTGCTGGGCTTTAACCCGCTGCACCACCAGGGAGGGCCCAACTGGCTGGGAGTCCTGTTTAAAGGGCACTTGGAAGCCGTCATACGCTTCTGAGGAGGGGACTGACTTCACTAGTGCTGTAGCCGTGTGCCGCAGCCAGTGCCGCCGGTGGTGGGCCCTGCACTCCCCGGCTTTGACCTCCCTCTGTCCCACTGCAGCCTCATGGCCACCACACGCGTGCAGAGCGGAGGGAGCAGCGGTCGGCGCGTCGTGGGGAGTGGCCCTGCCCTGTCCCGCGTGGCTCAGAGGGCATCAGGGTGCATGGAGGGCCTGGGACTGAGCCAGGCCCACGCTGTCATGCCCAGGAGCTAGGAGGGGTGGGGGTGGGGGACAGAAGGGTCAGCCACGCCTCTGGGCTCCCAGTGTTTTCTGGGGCCTCTCTGTCCTCAGGGCTCAATCAGGTCAACATGTGCACGGTCCGGCGAGCTCAGGCTCTGCGTGGAGCCCCCAGGCTCTCTCCTAGGCTGTCCTGCACCACACTGCAAGTCCAACTCTGAAAGTCAAGGCCAGGGTGGCCTGAGCGGTCACCCTGTCCACATCCAGAGCCTCAAAGCATTAGAAAGTGCAGAGGTCCTCCTGTCCAGTCCCTTGCAAACATTTTTAAAAAGAGAATTATTTATGCATACAAGAACCAGGAGTGTGGTGGGGGTGAAAGGATTCACTAGAGACAGAGTGGGGAGCAGGACAAGTGGACTGACTGAAGTCCACTGCTGAGGGGAGCAGCGGGCCGGTCAGGACAGGTCTGCCGCACCATGTGGGTCACTCCCTGGCTGGGGATCGAGCTCTACTGCAGTGGCTGAGAACAGCTTCATAGTGCTGCGCTTTGGCCTTGAGCCACCAGGGAGGGTCCCCACCTTGCAAACATTTTTAAGCACGCAGACTATTTATTTCAAACACAGCGTCACAGGGAACCCCAATGTGTAAAACAAGTAGAAGCTGCTGGGGCTGAAACAGCCAGCCTGCCTGCTGCGACCACCTCTCCTTACCCAGGAGCCCCCACTAAGCTCTCTGTGAAGGGCACCGCACCCCCTCATCGGTACAGGCCAGCAGGGCCACAGAGGGGAGGGGCCTGGCCTCCCTGCGCCCCCAGCCATGCTGATGGGGGCAGGGGCGCTACCCTTCCTGGAGCAGAGGGACTCTGCACCTCCTCCCAGGGAAGGAGCTCCTGTTACAGTCACCTGATCCTTGCCTGCTTCCGAGATGCCCGGCAATGGTCGACTGAAACCCAATCGCAGGCGCGCGGGCCTGTGCCCTAGATGGCCGTGCTGCAGTTCTCTTCCGGAACGGAGCCCGAGCCGAGCCCGCACGGCACCCCCATGCAGGCCAGGCCCGCAGGCGGGGCTCACAGCTTGAGGAGGCCACCAGGACCCCGCGGCACTGGGTACGCTGGTTGAGGACGGGCACCCCCAGGGGAGGTGTCAGGCTTGAGTGCTCACATAGCATCCTCATTAACGGCCTCATTAGGGGGCCCCAATGAAGTAAAAGGTGCTAATTCCTTCAGGAGGTGTTGCCAGCACCTCGGACAGGGAGTCTCCTCTGGGGAAGCTCTGAGAAGCCACACAGAGCATAGCGGACGGATGGCTGGCGTGGCGGGGGGTTCCCAGCAAGTGCCTGGCAGAGGGCTGACGCTCTGGGGCACCAGAGGACGGTGGCAGAGCTGGGCAGGAGGAGAGGCTGACTGGTGCCTCTGCCCTTGGGGCATCCTGAGTGTGAGCTGGGAGGCCGGAAGCCCAGACGGACCGGCGCAGGGGATGCGGGAAGAGCAGCAGCTTGGCCGTGGCCCAGGGCTCCGTGGTCTCGGTGGACCCAGGCGCGTGGTTCCCATCCCACCGGCTGGCTGTGGCCTGAAGGAGCCAGGGCCGGAGAGGCCTCAGAGTGTGGGTGTGGCAGGGGGGAGGAGCCTGGGCGATGCCATAATACGCATCTGAGGAGGGGATTGATGCCACCAGCCCTGCCCTGCCCAAGAAGGTCGGTCAGGGTTTGAAATGGGTGGGCCAGGGCCAGCCTGGGCCCCAGGGGTGGCGAGCAGGGCCTCTCTGCTTGCAGGGTGACTTAGCTGGCAGAGATTCGCACCCCGGCCATACCACAGGAGCAGGGGTTCGGCCGTGAGGCACGGTCTGAGCTCTCGGGAGAGATGGCTGTGGGAAAGCCGAGTCTGCACGCGTGATTTCACTCCTCCGCCTCCCCGTCAAGTGGGACCCTCCTTATCCAGCCTCCTGCAGATAAGGAAACTGAGGCTCAGCGAAATGAAGGGACCCAGACTCAAGCCTAGCATTTGAGAGAGCACAGGTTCCAGGGGTGAGGACACCCTGATGGGAGCCTCCCTGCCGTCACCCCGCAGCCAGGCAGGAGGTGGCCCCGGGCTCCGAGATCCAGGTGGCCCGCCGTGCCCGCTGCTCCAGAAGCCAGCCCCCTCCGACGCTGGCAGGCAGCTGGGCCTGCCTGAGTGCGCCCCAGTGTGAAGCCCGGGGAGGAGAGGGCCAGGGCAGGCTGCGGGTGGGAGGAGGGCCCAGCCTGGCTCCAGGCCCACCTCGCCGCTCCCCAGCAGCCAGCCGCCCGTCCAGAAGAGCCAGCAGGAAACCAAAGGCCCCGATTGATTCCCAGGGACTTGGCCGGTGCCAGTGACAAGGCCAGTGGCAGACGGCAAGTTCTGCTTGTTGTAGACGAGTGGAAAATAATTAGCGTGAGAACGAGAAGCTGGAGCCCG